ATTTAAAATAACAGTGTTTTCATTTCCCCTGTAAATTCTAAACGGGTTGTCTGATCGTTCAATTGTCAAAAGACAAATTGAAGGTAAATATATGTGTATCTTGCTAAACTTATCAATGCTGATGGAGAATCACGATTAACTTATTGAAATGGCTTATTTTCTACAAAAAAATGATTTTAATGAAAGTAAATTTGAAATATTTTGAAAACGGTTATATTTAGGAAGTTTATCGATATGAACACTATCGTTTGAAATGATTTTTATAATCATATACTAACATCAAACTGAATATTTTGCCGTAAATAATGAAATTTTCCAAAATGCCTCAAAAGTTGTTCTTAGATAAACTTTTTTATTAAAAGTTTGTCCATCCTAGAGTTGTTTTCAAAACTTCGGCTTTCTATTCAAATTTTTATACAAAAAATATAAAAAAAAATAAAAAATAGGGTTTTTTGTGTTATTTGAATTTTGAGGTTTATTTTTAATATTTTTTGTAAAAAAATGAAAAAAAAAAAATCTGCGTAAATTTTTTTTATAAAGCCTTATTAGTTTCCTACAACTCCTTCTTAGTAAATTTTTCTCTGCAACCAACTGTATTCGACCTACATTTTTTTTAAAAGTATGTGTGCAAAAACACATAGGCCCTTTTCAAAAATTATCCTTGAGTCAAAAGGGTCTCCTCTCCTGCGGAAAATATTTGGTCTGTTATACTGAAAATATGGGCAAAATATCATCCAAATCGAAGATGGTCGAGCACGATTTCAGGTTTTTTCAGCTCATTCTGGATGGAATCCCTCATGGAAAAAATCTACGTATGTGTTCACGTAGCATTGACGTGTCAATTATTTTGAGCACATGATCTTAAAAAGTAAGACAACACCCAAATCCTTAATAGTAGATTCTCTCTTTAGAGATGTTCCGGCAATGGTGTAATTAAATGAATTGAAAGAGCATTTACGTCTAAAGGAAATTACTGAGCATTTGTTGACATTCAAACTCATGCTCTTAGTTTTGCACCATTTGGGAAAGTTATTACATAATAGATTTTGACGTCATTTAGGTAAAGCGAGAATAAGAGAGGTCTAATATGACTGCCCTGTGGAACACCAGATGTTACAAGAAATGGTTCTGATATACTATTACCAATTTCAACCGACATTTTACGACCAACCAGATAAGAGCTAAGCGAACCAGAGACACCAATACGTAAAAGCTTTCCTATCAATATTTCATGGTTGATTTTATCGACAGTAGCTGAACAATCAGTATAGATTACATCGACCTGCTTGTGAGCTTCTATACTCTTGATGATAAAGGAAGTGTATGGAACCAGATTGGGGCGCGTTGATCTCTTTGGCATGAACCCATGTTGAGTCGTGGAAACGTAGTTGAGTCAATGATGCTTGAGAAAGTCGAGGACAATTAACTCAAATAGTTTGAATGTAGAATATAATGCAATAATTCCTCTGTAGTTTAGAACCTCTTGTTTATCGCCCTTTTTGTGCACGGGAAAAACGAATGATATCTTCAATGTTTTAAGTAAAGACCCGGATGACAGCGAGCGGTTGAAAATAGTGGCTAGCGAGATAGCAGAACTACACTTCTTCAAGATGATAGACGGTATGCCACCCGGACCGGGGTTTGATGAATATTTCAACTGAGCGCAATCTGATTCAACCGTATTATGTGATATCCGTGGATGAAGACCAATGGCAGAGCGTGAAGGTACATTAGCTGCAGTATCAGTCACCAGAAGTGGGTCAAATGTTTTGTCGGTAAATGTTGCTGAGAATTGTTCTTTGAAAAAGCCAGTTATGGCCGGAAGAGAAGAAACTTCTTTATCGTCGAGCTTCATGTTTGGATGTAGTCCTATTTCCTTCTGCTGTTCTTCGATATAATGACCAGAACTTCTTAGGATTGTCTTTCAAATTACGTTGAATCTGACGCAGCTAAGTATGAAACAGTTTATTGTTTAGCCGTTTGTATCTACTGTTGCAGGCGAAGTAATGCGACCGTATGTAGGAGTTACGATTCTTGGGAAGTTTTTTAAGTGCTGATCTTTTAACCAACTGCAGGCTTTTGGAGATTCAGGATAATCTATTAAATTCATTTTATTTTTAATTGCAGGGAACTTAAAAAAGTTTCAAAAATTTCAAGAAACTCCAAAGAACTATAGCGGGATTCCATCCAGAATGAGCTGAAAAAACCTGAAATCGTGCTCGATTTGGATCATACTTTGCTCATATTTTCAGTATGACAGACCAAATTTTTTCCACAGGAGAGGAGACCCTTTTGACTCAAGGGTAATTTTTGAAAAGGGCTTATGTGTTTTTGCACACATGCTTTAAAAAAATGTAGTTCGAAAACAGTTGGTTGTAGAAAAAAATTTACTAAGAAGGAGTTGTAGGAAATTAATAAGGCTTTATAAAAAAATATACACGGAATTTTTTTTGTATAAAAAAAAATTTAAAATAAACCTCAAAATTCTAGAAACAAAAAAAAAAACGTACTTTTGATTTTTTTTATATTTTTTTTTATAAAAACTTGAATAGAAAACAGAAATTTTGAAAACAACTCTAGGATAGACAAACTTTTAATAAAAAAGTTTTTCTAAGAGCAACTTTTAAGGCATTTTTGAAAATTTCATTATTTACGGCAAAATGTTCAGTTTGATGTTAGTATATGATTGTAAAAATCATTTCAAACGATAGTGCTTATATTAATAAACTTCCTAAATATAACCGTTTTCAAGATATTTCAAATTTACTTGCATCAAAATCAATTTTTTTTTGCAAAAAATAAGCCATTTTCATAAGTTAATCGTGATTCTCCATCAGCATTGATAAGTTTAGCAAAAGAAGTTAAGAAGTTCCAAGGTTTTCAAGAAGTGCAAAGAATTTCAGAGATGTTTAAAAATATTCAGAATTGGTTTGCAAGCTTCATAGAAGTTCAGAGAACTCAGAAGAACGAGAATTCCGAGAACTTCAGGGAAGATCAAAAAACCTTATCATGTTCCATTAATTTCAGGGAAATTACAACAAAAGTTTGAGCTCTTAAGATTTCCGAACGTTCCTAGAATTCCAGAAAAATTGCGAATATAATACATGATCGTTAGGGAGATTGTGGGAGCATTAGGAAAGTCCAGAGAAGTTTAGGAAAATTTAAAGATTTCAAGGGAAGTGTCATGAGCAACAGAGTTTGTCGCGAAAACTTTCGAAGAATTTCAAGGCAGTTCCATTAACTTGAGGAAAACGGTTCAGCTTTAAAGAAGTTCTGAGGACTTCCAATGAATTTTCAAGGTAGTCCAGAGAATGTAAGAAAACTCTTAGCACTTTGAGGAAGTCTAGATAATTTCAAAGATGTTTACAGATTTTTATGGCAGTTACGTGAACTTCAGCACAGTTCCGAGCACTAAGTCTGGCGAGCTGAACGCAGAAAAGTTTTACTTATATCGCAGTGTCAATTTGAGGGAACTTAATTGTATGTACATGCAGATATACATAAATTCTTACACCCAACCGGGGGATGTAAGATTTGCTTGCAATAATGAGGGATTCATCATCACAGGATGTTAGTGGAGATCGCATGAAGAGAATGAGATATACCGAACAGCGGTCCAATGCAAGAAAATGGAGATCAAACAGTGTAGTGATAGTGAATGAAAAGCTCACGCATCTAAGAAATCAGTGAGTTAATTGCCATCCCAGTTATTGTTCAGTTACCAAAAGTCGAGTGTACATGTTTTTGAATTTAGATAATTGAATCTCCAATTTAGAATATTGCGTTTCGCCTTTAAAAGTTTTCCCCGGGAAAGTGTCGGAAAATTTACTCATACTATGAGTGACCTTAGTTTGAGTGATTTTGAGTAATCTGAACTCAAATGTGGGTAGGATTTTTTGTCCATGTGCGATTGGTTTGGAAAGTATTTTTATTCTAAATCATAAAAAATAAACTCACGCCGACCAACGCCGCCACACCGCCGCCGCCGGCAGAAAACAACATATGGTAAATGATGGCTTCGGCAGCCATCGACTGTTTTCGGCAATCACAATTTAAACGTTAATTTCGATGTATTTTCTAACTTAAACACTTCGCTTAATGTATTTAAACGATTCCGTAGTCTTTCAGCTTCAATCCTAATACATTTTTACGACTGAGCAAACCTGTTTTGCCAGGTGTTTCTTCAAAAGAAACATAAGCACATCAAAATACGGCTGATTTCGAGTTGCCGATAATAGAACAGCTGGTTAACACGCAGTTTAAATGGAAAGGTTGCCGAAGTAAAAGAGGCTGCCGACAATAGTCACTCTCACCTGAGAAGTTTGGAGCGCTTTAAAAACGTTTTCAAACCGTTTTGGACAGTTTTGTTGATTGGAATGGATAGAATAGCTAGCAGCAGATGAATGTAAGCAAACAGGCACGTCATATGTGTACGTGACACTGAGAAAATGCTAATAGAAGTGCGGAAGCTGCTTAGATTGACGAGAATACGTAAATTCCCCTATCACGTCGCCGCCGATAATATTTTGATCGGCGCACCGGTCTACTTTGAACAAAATAACAATTTTCAATGTCAGTAAGAGCAGATCAAATCTAGTGAAATGACCTTGCTGCTGAGTTGAATTTTGAATTTTGAGATGAAGATTGGAATATTCAACAAGAAATGTAATTTTGCCGCTAGGTGGATTTATTTCGAGCTCCTTTGTGTATCTTGAATGTGGGAGGGTAACGTTAGAGCAAGTCTGTTTAAAATACGGTTGGGGAATTCCGAGAAATGTCAACAATGTTTCGTTTGCCAAATCAACGGTGTTTGTGTAGTTGAACGCAACGATATCCTCGTTTTCGATGTGTGTCGCTCGTTCAGTAGAGAAATTCAACTTTAACTCGCGCATGAATGATTATGGTTTCGATCTGACGAGAGTTGGACGTGGGTGATTTTTTTTTATTTGCGAAATTTAACAAAAACTAATATAAAAATCTTTTTTTCATCGCTCGCTCACCTGACACAGATAGAAATGATGCCGTTCGACGTGACGGGGGGAGTTCTCGGCTGACGGAAAGCAACTCCGCCATATTTTGGTAACCATGATTCTGAAAATAAAACAAATGCAAATTACAATTAGTACAAACTTGTTCATTCAGTGTAGGTATCATTCGTTCGTCCAGTGAGCGCACACTGAACAGGAGGGTAAGGGATCGAATTCTGTATGTGTGTAGAGGGAAATCTAATTAAACTTCAAGCCAAAAGTCATTCTGTTTGCAGATCCGGTGACATTCTCTCATTTGGTGATGTAAGGCGGGGTTTAATTTTAAATGCATGTAGGGTTTGTTCTTCTTGCTGACTATTACGCCCCATCTGGAATTTTGTCCTCTTTCGCAAACTAGAGTTCGTCCGCAATTGCTAATTGAGAGCTTTATAAGCCTGTACCTTTTTTGTATTGCATACATATTGTGTGGCAAGCACAATGATACTCGATGCCCAGGAAAGTCGACAAATTTTCCAACCCGAATTGGAATCGAACCCACTAGCTTCAGAATGGTATAGCGCGTTTATGACTAGGCTAACGGGAGTCCCCAGTTTGTAGGTATGTAGTGCCAAAAGCGGGTGTGAACTTTTACGAACAGCAACAAAATAGGAGACACTTTGTTGTTTTACGATTATTTAGTAGCTGACAAGAGGACTGTTCTATGGTTAGCTGTTTTTCAGTTGAGTTTTTACTGTTTCTTTAAAATATTAAGCGTTTAAAAAAAGTCATGCTGAAACCAATTGACCGTGTGCCGGTTTTATAAATATTCAACCTTTGCATCTGAAATCTTCAACATTTTGGTAGTCAAACAGCAAGCGACAATGACCTTCTGCTCTGGTCAACGTAACCTACAGCACAGGACATTCAAGTCACGTCCCTGGCTCATGTATATTTAATTGAAAAACTGTGAACTGGAAAAATCCGATCTACCAACGCATAAAACCCTTCACACTATTTACCAATTCATCAGGCATAGATGGTGACACGGTCGCATGCACCATTTTCCAACTCCGCTCACATGCATAAGAGCTCCGGTGTCGTTTGGCTACCGTGAATATTTTCCGGAAATAATGTCTGTGTGTGTGTGTGTGTGGGAAAAAAAGCGATGAAACAGCATGCTGGCACGAACCAACCGTGAAGATTATTTCTCGTTATTATAATCTTTAATGTCCTCTCGTCGAGCAGAGGATGATGCTGCTTCCACAGCATACCGTGGATATGTTGTGCGTTGGATTGAATTGCTAATCAGAAGTTTATGTTAATGGAACTACATCTGCATATTTCAATTTTCTGGATCAACTTCCAACAGCCCCAGGGCAGTGTTCGGTGAAAACCAAGTGGCTCTTTGGCACCAGGGGTTGACGTGGGTATGACGACGATGGTGTATGTTAATAGGTATACTAATAGGGAAACTCCATTTGCTATCCAAACTCATTAAAGGTAAAGTTTTGGGACAATCCTTTCGGCATCCAAATAGCTCAGAGAACCGTTTTCGAAACAAGTCTACCGCACGTCCGTCCGAAACATGTTCAAGAACAGATGAACAGTTTAACAGTTGTCGTGACGGGTTTTCCAAATTGAGAGTAAAAATGCGGAAAGTTGCTTGCATTCTAGATTCAGGCTAATGAGCGTGATCTTATTCTAAATGTACGTGACACATGCCTGAAACTTGCTGGTGAGGTTTCTGGTTAGGCTAGGTTCAGACATCATGGTGAAATTCATCTAGGAATTTTTTTATGATGAAGATACGTACTGTGTAAAAAGCGTATGACAAGCATGAGTTAGTAATTTACACACCAAAAATTGATTAAAATCTTTGACTATATGTTTTGTATTACTTCTGCGTGAAGTCAACGATTTACATAGTTGAAGATGCTAATTTCGAATAACAGACTAAAGTGGTAATTTTTATACGATATAGAGTTGATAGTTCCGTTAGAGTACGGCAGTGTGAAAATTGTATATAGATAGTAGAAAGCGAGCAAGGACAACTTTTAAGGAAGTTACAAATCGGTTTGATCATCTCTCTTTACCAAACTCCCCCGTTGGTATTCCCCCCGCCGCCACTGACAAAAAATGGGGGGGGGTCTTACCATGAATTACTGAAATTTTCCATGAAAGTCATCTTGTAGAGACTTTTAAACTCTTTAAGACAAATGTTTTATAGCGAAATTTGTTGCCTGCATCTCTTCTAATAAAAAAGATATACCCGAGTATAGCAAAAAATATGAATAAATTCAAATATATTTGATACGAGTTATTATTATTATTATTATTTATCTTTATTAGGGAGGCTTTCAGCCTTGGGCTGGTTCGCCTCCAATTTATACGAGTTTAAAAAATAACATACCTCCAATTTTTTCACATTATTGAGAATAACATACGTTCTTTCAAATGCCGTAGAAAAACTTTTTTTTTGTTTGCCCCAACCAGAGATATTAACATTTGAAAAGTGCATATTTTTAGTACAAAAACGTCAATAACTCTTGATCGGCGAAAGATATTGACAAGCTTTGTGCGGCAAAAATTTGCGCCTTCTTAAGATCTAAAAGTTATTTCAACACACCTTTGCTGAGAAATTCGAAATAAGAAAACTAGAGCAAAACAACTGTTTTTTTTTAGAGCCACCCTAACTCAATTCAAGAAAATAGCTCTAAATTGGCCAATTAAGAGATACAAAAAAGTTGTTTTCTACAAAATTGCTTGAAATTAGCTCAGCTATTACTTTGCCGAAGAATGTATACCTTAATTTATTCAAACAAATAAGTTAAATTTTTGATTTTAATGATAATATGAACCACCCTAGAATTCATTGTCATAAAAATGAGGGCATAACTATAAGGAACAACTTTGTACAAGTAACTTTTAGTCTAAAGTTAATTTCAGGCTCAAAACATATCATTCCACCTAAATCCGCATTCTGGACCACTGTGCAATGTCAGTGCACACATGATCTTGACATCGTTCCGATCTACTGATTTTCAGAGTCCTGTAGCTAATATTTCTGAATTACGCCACCAGCTAATCGAGTACGTATCTGTAGAAATCTCATAGGTACTATTAAAACAATGCATTCCCCAAGCAACCCACATGTTCTATAACAGTTTATATAACCTTTGTATGACTAGTTTTGGTTGTGTAGCAGTTTACTCAACATAATTCTGTGAATGTGTGCTACTCGGGTGGTGTGAATGTGTGCTAAATGGTGGTGTGAATGTGTGCTACTCGGGTGGTTATGCAGAACACTCAATCTCAATATTTCTTACAGCTCCTGATAATGATGGAGGGGGGGGGGGGGGGGGTGACGGGGGGCTATAATTTCTTATATACAACACTTAATACTTAGAAATCACCAAAAATCGAACTTTTACTAAGATTTTATTGGGGCGTGGCTGCATCACGCCGTTTGGTTTCGGCGGCGGCGGCGTGGCGGCGTGGCGGCGTTGGTCGGCGTGAGTTTATTTTTAATCATTTAGAAAAAAAATACTTTCCAAACCAATCGCACATGAACAAAAAATTCTACCCACATTTGAGTTCAGATTACTCAAAATCGCTCAAACGTAGGTCACTCATAGTATGAGTAAATTTTCCGACACTCTCCCCGGAAAACTTCTCGACTATGGGGAAAATTTAAGAAAATTATACACAGGTTAGAAGTGTACTAGTAGACAGACAAAAATCACAATCAGTTTTCCGCGTATTCGAGAAGTTTTCCTCGGAAAAGCGTCGAAAAATTTACTCATTCTATGAGTGACCTACGTTTTCGCGAATTTGAGTTACCTGAACTCAAATATGAGTAACTCTTACTCAATTTTGAGGCGTTTTCATTGGCCGTGCATGCGGAATTTGTTTAGAAAAGTATGTCAAGTGCTTGTTAAAATTACAGGGGGTGGAGTCATATGGCAAAGTGTTACAACCCTTTTATTAAAAGTTCGTTATGTAGGGGTGGATAGTATATAAAAGCAATCTGTTGCATTACGTAACAGCCACTGCTTACTGCAAAACTCTATTTTTTGCAAATGCTGTAATTTTCATGAATTAAGATTGTTTTATCCACATTGTTAGGATGCATGCCTGACCGTCGTGCAGTTACGGTCATCCCAGCTATGTTAAAAATTCATTCACGTGGCGTGCTGGTGGCGCGCACTCACAATACCTTGCGAACCAAGGATACTTACTTAAGGGGCCTGTACACCACCTGAGGTGCAAAGGGCTAACGCGAAAGACTTCCATCCTGGGCGGCTGCTTGCTTTTGTCTTGACCTGGGCCCAGGTCAGATTCCTATCGACTTGCTTTATTTCCTTGTTTAGGCTCCTCCGCCATGAGCCTCTGGGTCTGCCTCTGCTGCGGTGTTCTGGCGGATTCCAATCCAGCGCTTGCTTTCGGATTTCGTTTCCGCCCCGTCAAAGTGTGTGGCCGACCCACCTCCACTTTCGCTCTCGAATTTCTGTTACTATGGGCTTCAGATGACATCGAGGATGGAGCTCGGCATTCGAGATCCAGTTGTGAGGCCACCAGGCATGAATTATATACTGCAGGCATTGGTTGACGGGGTCTCCCTTAGCTCAGTCGGTAAAGGCGCAGCTACAAAGCAAGACCATGCTGGAGGTGGCTGGGTTCGATTCCCGGTCCGGTCTAGGAATTTTTCGGGTTGGAAAATTTCTCGACTTCCCTGGGCATAGAAGTATGATTGGACTTGCCACACAATTATACCAATGCAAAAATGGTACAGGCATCGAAAGCTCTCAATTAATAACTGTGGAAGTGCATCTAGAACACTAAGTTGAGAGCACGCAATAAGCAAATATGCGATATGCAATAAGCTTGAAATGCGAAGAAGAAGAAGAAGGCATTGGTTGATGAATACCTGAAAGTTCTGAGTGTTCTCCGCTGATACACACCACGTATAACAACACAGATTTCACGTTCGAGTTGAAAATTCGGATTTTGGTCTTGTTGACGTTGATGGTGAGACCTACCGCATTTCAAAGCACCATTGTGCTAGTAGAGCAACATCATCAACCAAATCGAAGTCGTTGAGATGCTCCATGATGATAGGCTGCC